CAGGAACTATAGGAACTACAGGAACAAGAACTATAGGAACTATAAGAACAGGAACTATAGGAACTACAGGAACAAGAACTATAGGAACTATAAGAACAGGAACTATAGGAACTACAGGAACTACAGGAACAAGAACTATAGGAACTATAAGAACAGGAACTACAGGAACAAGAACTATAGGAACTATAGGAACTACAGGAACAAGAACTATAGGAAATATAAGAACAGGAACTACAGGAACAAGAACTCTAGGACCTAGAGGAACAGGATTTACATGAACCAAATGAAATCGAACTGCAGGAACAGGAAGTAGCAGCTATTATTTGAGGTACTGGTCTCGTGTCAAAAAGCTTTTTTTTAAACCAGTTCTCAGACCAGTCTCTCGGCTTTCCATTCTGGTTCTGACCCCTCTGGGTCAATCAGCTGATGGGTCAGAATGTCGGACTTTTCTCCACCAGAACCCTAACCTGAACCAGAACACGTGGAACAATCTGGAGAAGCTGTGCCGCTCCCTGACCAAACACTACCTCAACGTGTATGTGTGCACTGGGCCGCTCTACCTGCCCAGGTAAGCCTACCTGACCTGGCATACCCTTCCCAGAGGGGGTGGAGCTTACATTCCTCTTTTTATTTCAGGCAGGAAGATGATGGGAAGCTGTACGTGAAGTACCAGGTGATTGGGCGGAATCACGTTGCCGTGCCTACACATTTCTTCAAGGTAGGAGTCGACTACCTGATGATGTCACCAGCACACCTTTAAGTCTTCTGAATCTGAGAGGCCGTGTTCTCCTCAGGTGCTGATTCTGGAGCAGACCGACGGCAAGGGGGTGGAGCTTCGCTCCTACGTTCTCCCAAATGAACCCATCGATGAGAAGGTTCCTCTTGAACGTTTCCTGGTTCCAATAGAAACCATTGAGCGTGCGTCTGGACTCCTGTTTGTCCCAAACATCATGAGGAGGACCGGCAAGCTGCAGGCTATCAGCAATAAGTGAACTACAGTACCCACAATCCCCTGCTGCACTCACTAAGCATGGAGGCCCATTCTTGGACTTGTTTCTTATTAAAGTCATCTGATTGAAAGTGTGCAGTCGGGTCATTGGTGGGTTCTGCTGGGTTTCAGGTTCTGGGTTCCAGTGGGAGGAGCCTGTGAGCAAAGGAAGGCTTGAGGCACTAAACAGCACAGTGGAAGCTGTTCCACAGCAGGGGGAGGGGCCCATCTGCCTTGACCCGGCTGATGAGAGTCACCCCAAGAAAGGCCCCGGGCCCCGATAACATGCCAGGGTGGGTGTGCAGGTAGTTCTTACAAACAGACAGTAAAAGTCGTCTAAGTGATGGTGCTGATCAGACCCGAACGCCTCAACCAGGAAACACATTTAATTAAAAAACAGAATCTTTTCAATACATGGAGAATTTATAAACAAAAAATCTGTCCACTTCCTGTCAAGGCTTAAGCCCCTCCTATTCACAAATGGGGGCGGGGCCTGTGTTCTGATAGTGGTCAGCTGTTGTCCTCGTCTTCAACGTCAGAGTTAAAGATGTCTGACAGCTGGTATCGGTCCTGCTGCTGCTGCTCCTGTAGCTGCTCCTTTTTTCTGCAGGAGCTCAGCTTCTCCTGCAGAACCGGAACCAGGTGGTGGTACAGGAAGTCCATGATCTCTAAGGTTGGGGAAGAAGACGACACATGAGAAGCTAGCTTGTGTTCTAACATACAGTGGTAGCGGTTCAGAAGTTCCCCTTCAGGACTGGCGGTCTTTGGTTTCCAGCCCATCATGGAAAACGTTTTAACTGCTAATGCTGTAGCTGAGGAACATCTGAGGAACATCTGATCTGCTAACGGAACTGTTGCTCTACGCTGGTCCCTTACGTCTGACACAGAACCACAGTCTAACTGCAGCAGGTTGGGTCTGAAAGGTTCTGTGGAGAACAAGCAGCAGGCAGGTCAGAGAGGAGCTTCGAAATCAGCTTGGAGAATTTTCTCCAAGCTGGAACTTTTTTTCTATATGAAGCACTTTGTTTAAATGTAGAACAACAAAATATCTTCAACAAGCAATCAGCAATAGATGTAGTCAGATTAGTCTGCCCAGAAGAAAGAGGAGAACCATGGATCAAAAGTAAACGGAACAGAAGCGCTGCTTTGACTCAGGGTTCCACATCTACTGGACTGTGGAAGATTTATCAGGATTTACCTCTGATGGTGAAGAACCGAGCCAAACGCCAACAAGGAACATTAAAATATGTTCTAAGTTATTTATCCGCTTTCGTCAGCAGATGAGATGTTTGTCAGGATCAGTCGGCCCAATAAAAAGCAGTCAAAATTTTAAAGGGATCTACAACACAGCAGCCGTTTATTTTATTTTGGCCTTTATCAGCACCTGGGGGGTCTGGACTTCAGAAAACATCCTGGAAAACCAAGGCAGGAAACACCTAGATGCTTTATTACCGTATTTTCACGACTATAAGGCGCACATAAA